GGAGTTATCAGTGGAGTTCCCATATAAATCGGCATAGAAGAGCTCAAGAAAGAAATTAAAGGGGGGAAGTGTCTGTAGTTAAGCGTCTTCCTACTAGGTATCAGGGTAAGATAGTGGATAGTTTGTCTGTTCTTCTTCAGTTTGAAGAAACAATTCAACAGAAGATAATGATCGGTTGCATGAGCTTTCCAGTAAGATAATTCATCCCTAAACCTGTGCGGTGCTTTAAATGCCAAAGGTTTGGGCATGTGGCAGACAAGTGCAAAGCAACTAAGCCCAGGTGTCCAACATGTGCGGGGGAACATGAATATGGTAGTTGTGCTGCAGGTGATAAGGTGAAATGTTGTAACTGTGGTGGGGAACATAGTGCTGCATATCAGGGCTGCGAAGTGCAGAAAAAGGCCAAGGAGGTGCAGAGATTAAAGTGCAAAATAAAGTCTCATATGCTGAAGCAACAGAAAAGGTTTCACTAAACATAGCTAGGAAATCCCAAGTAGCAGCAAGTATATTCTCTTCAAAAGATTTTCCAAAACTCCCACAGGCAAAGGAAAGCTCCACAAAGTGTTCACATACATGTGTGATAGGAGAGGATGCATTGATTGTTAATAAGTACAAATGTGTGGCCTTTATTGGGAAAGTGGTGAATGTTGCTTTGCAACAAACAAAAAAGAGGTCAAGACTGAAAACAATAGTGGAAGCAGCAGGTGCATTTTTGGGGATAAAGGATATAACCGTTGAAATGATGCATGATATGCTAGCCCCCAATAATGATGATTCACAGATTAGTGAATAGATTAATGGTTGTTCTCATTCTGCAGTGGAATGCTAGAAGCCTTATTGCAAATGGACAAGAATTCAAGACCTATATATATCAGTTAAAAGAAAAACCAGATGTTATTTGTATTCAAGAAACATGGCTGAAGACTCATTTGGACTTCATAATTGGGGGATATACTGCTATAAGACAAGATAGAAATGATGGCCAGGGAGGGGGATGTGCAATCTTTATCAGATAAGTAATGTCTTATAGATAGGCTAACATTTAAGAACAGTCATGATTTAGAAATAGTGGGTGTAGAAGTTTGGATTAATAAAAGGAAAATTAGTGTCCTGAATTTTTATAATCCATGTAATAAATTCAAAATAGAGAAATTAGACAGTCTTTGCCAAGGAAATGAAATACTATGGTGTGGTGATTTTAATGCACATAATACAATGTGGGGAGGGAGATCAACAGATTACAACGGACAGGTGGTGGAGGACTTAATGGAGGCAAAGGAATTAGTTTGTTTAAATAATGGGCAAGGTACAAGACTCAATTTTAGAGATGGAACGGAGTCTGCGATCGACCTAACTCTTGTAACAAGTGAATTAGCTTCGGGTAGCAGTTGGGAAGTATTGGCAGATAACAGTTTGGGAGTGATCATCTTCCGATTATAATCAAGTTTGATATAAGTGATGTGGTTGAGCTAGACGGTATCATGAGATGGACCTTTTCTAAAGCAAATTGGGAGATGTTTGCTAAATTGTGTGATAATGAATTTGATCAGATTGATATGGCAGGAAGTATTGATGAAATAAATGAACAATTTACTTCAAATATAATTAAAAGTGCTAATCAAACTATTGGGAATAAAACTGGTAAACTTAGTAAATGTGTTAAGATGGTACCGTGGTGGAACAAAGAATGTAATGATGCAATTCGAAATTTGTTTTTTGTTTTCTCTTGTCTTTATTTTTCTTAACTCTCTGTCAAAGCGTCTTTGAGTTTCATGAAAAGCGCTATAAAAGTCCCATGTATTATTATTATTATTATTATTCAAATCAGGCTGTTTGGAAAGCTAAGAAAGACACATTCATTACACAATTTATTAGAATATAAAAAGGCACAGGCTCAGGTAAGGAACATTGTTAAAAGAGCAAAAAGGGAGTGTTGGAGAGGATTCTGTTCAAGTATTGGGAGAACTACACCATTAGATAAAGTATGGGGAATGGTTAAGAAGATGAGGGGAATAAGACAGCAGAGTAACCTGCCAGCAGGGCCGCCCCTGGCCAACTTGGGGCCCCAAGCGACATTGTGAGATGAGGCCCCCCCTAACCGACAGGAGTGAAAACATTTTTTTTGGAAACAAAGTAGGCTACTTTGCAAATATAATTCCTGTTCATTATTATTATCAACACAGTTACTTTTTTATACAGTGAGGTAAATGGTAAATGTGCATGTATGTCGTTCAGTATGCGTTTACAGGTGAATACGTCTGCATTTCCTGCCAAATACTAGCCTAAAAAAGATTAAAATATAATTAATGCAAATAAACTACTTCTACTAATAATAATAATAATAATCAATTCAATAATATAAATACTATATTATTTTATTATAATATAGTTGTAATATAGTCAAGACAAAACATGCTTATGACATGCTCAAAAACTGATATTTCTTAAATCTGTATTGTAGTTCCCTTTGTCAGCAATGTATCAACAACTACACACACATTTCTATCAGTATTTCTCTGTGTTGTGGTTGACATGATGATGACTGTTAGGAGTTAAGGGGAGAGGCTGAGCATCACCATGATGATGACTGTTAGGAGTTAAGGGGAGAGGCTGAGCGTCACCATGAAATGTGCAAATTGACATAAAAATGAATAAGAGGGGAACAAATGCTCCATGTTTTTTAAGCTGTAAACTTTAACTGTTATGTAAGCCAACTAGACAGACAGTGTATCACTCTTCCTCCTGTACATTAGCAGATAAAAGGCATAACATACTTGAATGAATGTTAAATAAAGAATGCTGGAAATAACTGCATTTCCATTAGCCTACATGCTCTGCAGAGACTGCCTTCTTCATGTCGTGAATTGCAGCTGATGTTTTAATATGGCAATTGGTAATTTGACTTATACAACATTCACAAGTTGTACATTTGACTCATACAATAACAAGGGGGGGGGGGAGAACTGAGCGGAGAACTGCGCACAGCAGCGGAGAACTGCGCACAGCATTTGAGGCCCTCTGGGCGGGGCCCCCTGCGCAAGGCGGGGTCCCATGCAGCCTGCGTGATTGGCCTGTAGGGAGGGGCGGCCCTGCCTGCCAGTGTTAGAGAATGGAGGGGAAATTGCCACCGGTGCTATGGATGGAGAAGGCAGAAATTCTAGCTAAGAATCTTGTCAAAGTTCATTCTTCGGAAAATTTGACAGAAGAAGGTAAGATCAGGAGGCAGGAAGTGTTAGATGAACATCCTAATGTATATGAAGAAAGACATTCGTCGCAGAGTGTTGTAAATATACCTTTTTCTATTCAAGAGTTGAGAAGAGCATTAAGTAAGTGTAAAATGACTGCTCCTGGGAAAGATAATGTATGCTATATAATGTTGACCAAATTAAGTGATTTTGCATTAGGAAAGCTGCTGGAGATGTACAATAAGATTTGGGAGAAAGGGAATCTGCCAATAATATGGTAAGAGTCTGTCATTATTCCTATTAGAAAACCTGGGAAAGATCCAACCAGTCCAGGCAGTTATAGACCTATAGCTCTGACATCGCACTTGTGTAAAGTTATGGAAAGAATGATAACAGAAAGGCTGACATACTACGTTGAGAAAAATGAACTAATGACTCCTTATCAGAGTGGGTTTAGAAGAGGGCGGAGTACTTTAGATCCATTGCTGTGCCTGGAACTGAAGTCAGGAAAGCACAAGCGAATAAGGAGTGTGTTGTAGCTGTATTCTTTGATGTGGAAAAAGCTTACGATATGATGTGGAAGGAAGGATTATTAATAAAAATGGACATTATGGGTCTGGGAGGTAATGTATATAATTGGATTTTGTATTTTTTGTTTGGCCGTGCCATCAGAGTCCGAGTTGGCAATTCATATTCTCGAAGGCATGAAGTTGAAAATGGAACCCCGCAGGGGAGTGTAATTAGTCCTCTTTTGTTTTCTATCATGATACATGATATATACACACAAGTAGGATCTGATATTGGTAAGTCACTTTTTGCAGATGATGGAGCAATTTGGAAAAGGGGCAGAAATGTAAAATATATTGTAGCTAAGATTCAGGAAGCCATTATGGAAATTGAAAGCTGGTCTCTGGTCGGTGGAAAAAACTGAAGCTTTATTTTTTACGAGGAAAAGGATAGGTGAGGAGGTTAGGTTAAAACTTTATGGACAAGATCTAAAGAAAGTGAAGACATTTACATTTCTGGGAATATGGTTGGACGAGAGAGTCACATGGAGTACGCACATTGATAAAGTAGTGGATAAATGTAAAAGGGTTTTAAATGTTATGAGGTGCTTGGCAGGCACTAAGTGGGGGGCTGATAAAGCTGCTTTGAGGAACGTACACACAGCCTTAATAAGATCAGCCATAGAATACGGACTAATAGTGTATGGTTCAGCTGCATATTCTTCTCTTCAAAAATTAGATAGAGTCCAGGCACAAGCACTAAGGTTATGCTGTGGGGCAGTCAGATCTACACCAGTGTCGGCACTTCAGGTAGAGGTCGGAGAAATACCAATTTCTTTGAGGAGAAAACAGTTAATTGTTCATTACTGGGCAAATCTTCAGGGCCATAAAGATACTCACCCTACCAAACAAACTGTACAAACAATTTGGGAAAGTAACAAAATAAAAAAAGAAAGTTTTTGTGTTTGTGTTTCGGAAATATGTAAGGAATTCAAAGTTAAAGAATGGAGTATTAGTCCGACGGTGTTGTTATCAGCTGTTCCACCATGGTTTCTACCTCAACCTATAGTAGATTTATCACTATTGAAACGGTTACATTCAATGAAAAACAAAATCAATGTACAGGCTTATGTGAATACTGTTCTACATGAACAATATGGGCACTTTATAAAAATATTTACTGATGGATCCAAAAATCCAGAAAATGGTCTAACTAGTTGTGCATTTTATGTTCCTGAATTAAAAGTAAAAGTGGGAAAGCGTACGAGTGATCACATCGCAGTATATACTGTACAGTAGAGATGATGGCTATCTCACTAGCACTTCAGTGGGTAGAGGAAATACAGCCAATGCGAGTGGTCATTTGCTCTGACTCCAGTGCAGCTCTGGAGAGTATAAACAACTTCTCTTCAGAATGTCGTCAGGATATTTTACATGAAATTTTACACATCATGTTTAGGTTAGTTCATCTGGGAATTGTTGTTCAATTTGTGTGGGTTCCAGCGCATGTGTGTATTAGAGGGAATGAAGTAGTGGATCAACTGGCAAAATGTGGTTTGAAAGCAAACCAGATTGATATTATGGTACCCATCAGTCGATCAGAAGTCAAATCTGTTACAAAAGTGGTTATCAAGCAACAATGGCAAAAACTATGGGACAGTAACATCAAAGGAAGACATTTATACCAGATACAAAGGGAAGTAGGAACAGGAAGCACTTGGGGGAGTAGTAGAAGAGAACAGAGCATTAACAGCAGGATAAAATTGGGACACTCTGGATTAAACTCATCACTGCATCTGATTGGAAAACATCCAAATGGCAATTGTGATGGTTGCCAACAACCAGAGACAATACATCATGTATTTTTTAGCTGCCCGGAATATACAAGGCAAAGACTCATTCTGAAAACGGCACTGGAACAACTCAACGTCAAGGACATGGATTTCAAGTCAATATATGAAAGTAAATCAAGAAATGAAGCAAACAAGCTGATCTTCAAATTCCTCAAAAGCACTGGTCTGAGGACAAGGATTGAATATGAACATTTAATAACTCAACAGTAGGTGGCGATATATGCTCCAAGTGGAAGCGATTCGCCATTAAAGAGAAGAAGAAGAAGAAGAAGAAGAAGAAGAAGAAGAAGAAGAAGAAGAAGAAGAAGAAGAAGAAGAAGAAGAAGAAGAAGAAGAAGAAGAAGAAGAAGAAGAAGAAGAAGAAGAAGAAGAAGAAGAAGAAGAAGAAGAAGGTCCTCGGAAGGTATACGTTGCTAACAGACCTTGGTGCAGATTTTATACCGAATGTAATGTGTTTAAGAGACTTTTAAAACACATACAAATACTTAGTTTATCCTTGTAGAGTGATTTATCCGTGCATTTATCCGTTAAACCGTTTTTGTTGCCTCGCGTTCTTTGTTTTTAGCTTTTTATACCACGTTGCTGATCGGTAAACATAAGTAAAGGCATTCAAGAGAGATTAGTGTGTTTAACGGCAGTGTTTTATCAAGGAGAAGAAAGACTGAAGAACCAGGACGAAGAGAGAGGTAACATCCTTGTGTGTGTTGGTGTGTGTGTGTTTTGTGTGTAGTTTTGTTGTGTCTGTCGGTTGTATGGACTCATCTTGTTTTGTGATTATTTCAGAGACACAGCCGGAGAAGGAGCACTGAGAGCAGCATGGAGGAGAAGAAAAAGACCCCTGGAGCTCAGGTCAGTGTGCACTTCATCACAATATATTCCTAACACTGTTATCCCCAAATGAAAGATCACAACCTGTTTAGAAAATACAATATTAATGCACAATATGGTTAGATATAGGTTAGGTTAGAACATTACTGTACTTACTATGGTTAGAACGTTGATGTGTCAGAGGTGGGAGTATATGATCGGAACACATAAGTAAAGGCATTAAAGGGAGATTAGTGTGTTTTAACAGCAGTGTTTTATCAAGGCGAAGAAAGACTGAAGAACCAGGATGAAGAGGAGAGAGAGAGAGTGTGTGTGTGTGTGTGTGTGTGTGTGTGTGTGTGTGTGTGTGTGTGTGTGTGTGTGTGTGTGTGTGTGTGTGTGTGTGTGTGTGTGTGTGTGTGTGTGTGTGTGTGTGTGTGTTGTGTGTGTGTGTGTGTGGGTTTCCGTTAGCCGGTAATTACCGGTTTTTAGCTGGTAAAATTTATTAAAAACCGGTAAATTCAAAACCTGCCGGTCAAAATGTCTGGTAATAATTAGGGAGGCTCCGGTCATTATCGGCCGATATTCACTCTTAATAGTTTGATCGGTGCTCTCTATAAAGGCCGATCAGGAGAGCTGGATCTGATCGATATGGACATAAACGCGAGTGAAGTATAACCGGACACGCGAGAGAGATCAGATCAGATCAGCTGCTGAGTCTGACACGCAGCTCTGCATAATCACCTGAAGCCCCGCCTCTGTTTAGCGAGCTGCAGGAGCTGCATGAGAAACTGACGGGCTGTCAGAGAGAGAGGGAGGGAGAGGGGAAAAGAGAGGATCCGTTTCTCCCGTGTTATTATTCAAAGTTAATGTAAACTTTTGAATAATGTACGTTATCTACTACAAGTATTTTGTTTGAATGTAATAATTATGTTGTTTGTTGTTTGTGGAATAATTTATTGAAAAATGAATCTGAATTTTTCGATCTGTTACGATTATAAACTGAAGCAATATAAAAATGAGCCCCGTGAACTGAGTTTTAAACTGAAGCATATCTGCTCATAGTCCGGTAATTACCTGCTAACGGAAACTCTGCTACACAACTCTTATTATTATTATTGAAATATGACCGGTAATTTTCAAATGTGTCCGGTAAAATAAATTCTGCCCGGACATTTGACCGGCGAGAAAAAATCCTAGCGGAAACCCTGGTGTGTGTGTGTGTGTGTGTGTGTGTGTGTGTGGGGGGAGAGAGAAGATATTATGATAGTGTCGTTCATTCGGGTGCACTCCGACAGCATTTAGCACTAAAGTGAGATTAAGATTAGACAAACTTCTTTCATTTGGGAACACCCACATACTGTATACCTATGGAGTTGGCCAGTTGTGTGTAAATTAGTGTTCATGGTAATTATAAAAAACAAATGCCGTTGTCGGACAGACACGCACGCACGCGGAGCAGAGCACAAACACACACACACACATCATGCGCCTTGGTGACCGGACATCTCATTCATATAACGAGTAGGGGGAATAATCGGGCAGTTTGATCTGCGTGTGGTTAAAACGTAGCAGCCTGTGGTCACTCTTTAGCTGTTCTAATGAAGGTAAACACAGTGAAGTAAACAGTAAAAGGCACAGCCCTTTGCAGCTGGTGCTGCTCTTCTCAGATTCTGCCGAGTTACACGTTACTGCCTCCTGGTGCTGCAGAGATTTCATGAAGTGAAGGAGGTTTTCCTTCTATAAAACAGCTGTTGGCAGCAGATACTGTGAGAGTCACGAACATGAATTCATAGATCAAGGCAGACTGGTTCACAGACTCATGTTTTGCTGATCCGGTGCTTAAACAAATAGCTCTACACTCCTGGTCGAAATATCCCTAAAATGAAGTCAGAGTTTGAAATATATTTTAAATAATATATGCACCTTTTTTTCAAATATTTCATTTTAAAAAGTAAAGCCCTTTCAAGTCATCTGTCTCAAGTCATGAATACCAAGTCAAAGTCAATTCATGTCTTTTATCAATATTAGTCAAGCAAGTCTCAAGTCAAAATATATGCTTTTTAGATTTACTTTCTCTCTTTCTCTGTCCGTCTGTTTTAGAAACCGAAAGGAAGAGAGAAACGTCACAGCTGTCAGCAATGTGATGAATCGTTTACAACATCTGGAACTTTAAAGCGCCACCTGCATATTCATACAGGAGAAAAAACGTACAGCTGTGAAAAGTGTGGGACGGCTTTCACTAGATCAGGTCATCTCAAAAGACATCACAGTATTCACACTGGAGATAAACCGTACAGCTGTGAAGAGTGTGGGAAAACTTTCACTAGATCAGGTCATCTCAAAAGACATCACCGTATTCACACTGGAGATAAACCGTACAGCTGTGAAGAGTGTGGGAAAACTTTCACTAGATCAGGTCATCTCAAAAGACATCACCATAGTCACTTGGGAGAAAAACCGTACAGCTGTGAAGAGTGTTGGAAAACTTTCACTAGATCAGCTGATCTCAAAAGACATCAACGTATTCACACAGGAGAGAAACCGTACAGCTGTGAAGAGTGTGGGCTAACGTTCACAACATCAGGTGCTCTCAAAACACATCACCGTGTTCACACAGGAGAGAAGCCGTACAGCTGTGAAGAGTGTGGGCTAACGTTCACAACATCAGGTGCTCTCAAAACACATCACCGTGTTCACACAGGAGAGAAGCCGTACAGCTGTGAAGAGTGTGGGAAAACGTTCTCTCAATCAGGTGCTCTCAAAACACATCAACGTATTCACACTGGAGACAAACCGTACAGCTGTGAAGAGTGTGGGCAAACTTTCACCACATCCGGTAATCTCAAAACACATCAACGTATTCACACAGAAGAGAAACCTTACAGCTGTGAAGAGTGTGGGCTAACATTCACAACATCAGGTGCTCTCAAAACCCATCAACTTGTTCACACTGGAGAGAAACCGTACTGGTGTGAAGAGATGCTGTTTTCTCCCTAACCGATCATGTATTTTCCTAAATCTGTCTAATGGGGCTTTCACACCAACGCGGTTCCAGGGCCGGTTCGGAGCTAGAGCCTGAAAAGCACCGGTTTTCCCACCAGTTCACATCGCAGCGGAGCCGCCTCTAAGCTCCGGAATCCGGTTAATTTCAAGCACCAAAAAATTGTCGGTCTAGAAGCAAGAACCGCATACGTCACGCTTACGTCGGAGGGGGGCATGATTAACCTGAGCTAACAGTTCAAGGCGAGTACGGCAAATAAAAGTTCTAACAATGAGTAGTGCTGAGCAAAGTGACTAGAACGCAACCACACACAAAAAAAACACACTTTATAAAGTCAGGCAACACTAACCAGGCTTTGTGTGATTCTGTTTATTTGTCTGTTCGCTGTTATTGATCATTGTGGAGAGCAGGCAGACGTTTTGTTTTGTATTATAGCAGCTATCGGATGGAATCAATACATGGGCTGCACAGGTTGTCATGTCCGACTATCACAAGTGGAATCATAATGAAAATACGCCGGGAAAATGTGCTTGTAGAAAACGGCTTATGCCACAATAGGATAGCAACAACAAGTAGTCAAGATAGTTAGTTTAGCTTCGGTTGCTAAGCTAACTTCACCCATTTTATACCAGAAAAACATTAATAACAGCGTTGTGATGCCAAACAGCGTCAATTAATACTGAAACACATTCACTTATGGGGAATTGGGGATATGTATCGGCTGCTTGTGTGACAGTCAGACAGTGAATACTTTGCAGCGGCCGCTGCCGTGTGAGCTAACCCGGAGCTAACGGGAGAATAAACTCCCGTGGAAGAGCAGCACTGCAGCGGTCGGTAAATGCCGCTGAACCACATTAATAAACAATGAACCACGGCACTCTGGAGAAAAATATAAGGTTGGAGAAGTCGTTATTTAATTTAATCTGGCTTCGTATGCTTAAAAGCAACACGATCATCGACCCGACGCAGTCCCCCATTGTTGTTGTTGTAGTGAGCGCCGTAACACCGTTGGGGAGAAAATCAGCGACGTAAACGGTGACGTCATGACGCAGCAGCGGCAGAACCAGTCGGGCTCTGGGCGGTGTGAACAAAACGGGGGCTGAAAATAAAAAACGGTTCCGAACCAGAAAAGCTCTAGCAGGGAGCTAGAATGGGAATCACGTTGGTTTGAAATCCCTATAACAGTTTTTTATGTTCTAACCAGCATTCACACTAAGCCAAAACAAGGCCACAGAGATGCTGTTTTTCCTGTTTTGTAATTCAAATCATTGTTATACTATGCTATGTTTCAACCATGGTTTTTCTAATATTCTTGTTATTCCTTTATAACATTTTATATGTCCAGGATTTAACTGCTAGCCTCGTGAAGCTGCATCCGGTAGTTTCTTGAATAATCTGTTTGGTTAATAAAATGTTGTGACTTAAACTTTGATTAGGATGTTTTGATAGTTCCTGTTGAGTTGGCAGTCTGTTCTGGTCTATAAAAAAAAAAGAAACAATGATGAATGTATCTAGAAAATATTCACGATGTTTTCAGTTTGATTCTGTTCTCTTTTGTTTAAATGATCAGAATGTACCAACATAAGAAAAGGCCTTAGAAACAGATTCACATCCCTGCATATCTTTGGTGTTTTTCAGCACATTATAAACATGTCATTCCCTTGTTTTAGGGCCGCTGACTGCTGGATGAAATGTGTCACTCAAACTTTAATTTGAATGAAAAATATACTTTTTTAACTCAGTGTGTTTGTCCCAGTGAAGGACTCCAGCACATAATGAGGTATTAAAACAAAAAGTGTGTTTCTCCAACAGTTTAAGTCTCTGAACACCTATAAAAGAAGTTAAATCAGAATTATAAAATCATTCTTTCAATTGTTTGTGGTGGAATAACTATTTTTTTATCAACACTATAATTGAAGTAGGTAAGTCGATTAAAATATTTAATCGCGATTAATAGCACATTTTTAATCTGTTCTAAATGCACCTTAGAGGAATATTTTTAAAGTTTGTAATACTCTTATCAACATATGAGTGGACA